ATCCCCACAGCACTGGGGCAGGGCATTCCCAAAGCTGGGCAAGGAAGGGAAGTCACTGTGTTTTTCCTGTGCCAATCAGCCTGGCCTGCCAATGTATGGTATGTCCATTGCATTGTGAATTTTAAGGTCAGAAAGCACTACTTTCATCAAGGTGTATTTTTTTCTCTATTCACTGACTTAGTTGAATTATGGAGCCTATCACCACCACCACAGTTCAGCAAAGGGTCATCAGCTCCTCAATTAGGACTTGTTTTGATTGTGCTCACTCACAAATGAGCAGCTCAGCCATTTGGAGACCTTCCAGCCTGACCCATCTCCCAGAAAGTCACTGGAACTGAGGTTGGGCCCTTCCTGCTTTCATCTGGAAGGAAAATAACACAAAGGCAGGCTGCAGAACAGGAGCAGTAGAGTAGGCCACCTCATTACTAAGGCAACACAAATCATGATCCAAGAGAATTCAATAGTGATTTTTAAATTCAGTGTATTAAACCAGGACAACCTAATAAAACCAGTTTTCCACCCTAAGTATTGAAAAAGAACAATGGAATTATCACTGCTTGCTGGACCTGCTGCCCAGCTCAGTAGGATTTCCCATCCTTTGCTGAGAACAAATACAGAGCTGACAGAATGTCAATGTGTGGTACTAGGCAATGAGAATCATTTAGATTCCAAACCATCCCATCCTAATCCTCTCCTCCCCACCAGCCGAGCTATTCATGGGATAACCAGAAACACCTGGGTACAAGGAATTTCCTGCTGCAATTCAGCCTTAATTTCCTCAGATAGTAAAAACCTAAGGCTCACAAAGGTGAAAGAAACCAGCAGTCAATCAAGTAAATCACCACCACCACCACTGCAGCAATGATAGTACATTCTAAATTAAATTTTAATTCCCACCTGATGGTTCACTGGGAGTTACTTATACACAAACCATTCATCTGACCCACCTTTGTATTTCAGGCAATTTGTTGGGGCCCCATTAGTTATTAACACCCACATAAGTTCCAGAACACCTTTTTTTTATTTTTCTGTGATTGTGATCAGAATGAAAATCAGAAGCAAAGATAGCAATGTCTGCAGGAATTTGCTGGACAGATACATTAAAGTGCACAGACAATCTTACTGTGGAAAGTAATGAACAACAAAGCCAAGAAAACTCCCAGGTTCACGCTTAAGCATAAACAAGACAAGTTTGGGACCTTTAATTTTTATTCATTTTGGGATTAGAAAGAGCTTATGGTGCTTACTGGGATCATGACTAAGTGAGAAAGGTCACCTCTCCCTGTGGTCAACAGTTTAGCAGCAAAGATTTCTGAGAGTTTGGCACAAACACACAGAGAAGCTGTGGCTGCCTCATCCCTGGAAATGTTCAAAGCCAGGCTGGGATGGGGCTTGAAGCAACCTGGGACAGTGGAAGGTGTCCCTGCCCATGGCAGAGGGGTTGAAAAGAAATGGTCTTTAAGGTTCCTTCAACCCAAAGCACTCTGTGATTCTATGATTCCTCAAAGAAGGCCAGACATTAATTAGAAAAGGTGATCAGGGCTGAGGCATGTGGGCACAGCTGAGCAGAGAAAGGCAAGAGGGGGCATTTCAAACCAGCACGTTCAGTCTCTCATCACCTGGATTAATTCATTAAAAAAATAAAAGTAAATTAAACCAAGTCCTGAAAGCCAGATTTTTAAGAGCAATATTTGTGGAATTTCCATTTTTACAGACTCAGCACAGCATCTGCAGTCATTTCTGTTTGCAATTCTGCCAGATCTGTCAAAGTAATGCACACAATTAAAGTATGTTTTTGGCAAAATTTATTGCAAAAAAATAGCTTAAAAGGGGGAAAAAAGTTAATTCAGTATAAGAGTCATCCAAAATTGCTGACATTCCTTTTTCCTTCTCAGGGAATTTAAATATGAATAGTCACAAATGCCTGTGAAAACTGGATTCTGTATCCTAGGAAGATGCTTTGCAAGGCAGCTTCTGACACTCTCAAAGACTGTTAAGACCAGGGAGCTTGCTGTGCTCGCCAGGCAGGGGCTGTGTTAAGAGACAGCTGCCAAAACCAAAGGAGTGAGCCCTTCCCAGAGAAGGTGTTGTTAGGTTTTATTGATGGGACAGGAGTTTCAGCAACATCTCCTGCTGCTCCAGCACCCCCAAGCATTGGGAAATGTCACACTGCACTTCTGTGGTTGGAGCCCCTTTAGCTTCTGGGAGAGATGAGAAATAAAACCTTCTCCATCAGCTTTAAAATTCTTTAGAGCTGAAAAATGCTGTGGTGATCAATGTGAATGCAGTAGCATCTTTAGGAAGGTACTTGCTCTGATATGTTGCAACGTGGGCTTTTAAAGGAAACACTGTTTTAAAACAGTGTGTCATTTGTGTCTGAAGAGCCACAGTGTGGCAGCTGGAATGGGTATTTTTAGGGACTCAGTTAGAGATTTACACACCAGTTGCCTCTCACGTCAAGATCAGTGCAAGGCAACAGATCTTTCCAAACTCTCAGACAAAGCAGTGAAATAGGTGTCAGTGACAATCAGTGTCAAGCCAAAAAGAAAAAAAATAGAAAAAAAACAACTGCAACAAAGCTGTATGACATTCTGTCATTGAAAACTGGGATACAGAATGGGATGTTACAGCAACAACCAAATTATGTTCAGCCAGTGTGAAATTCATGTGGAAAAACAGGAATCCTGCACTCACAAGGAGAAAACAAAGCAGACACTGTGTTCAGGTCTTTATCCTTTCTGGTTTCTGCCATGCTAAAAAGCTGACCACAGCCTGCAAAGGCTCCCCGAGTCCCTGTCACCATGGCACTCACAGAAACTGCTGGGACCTTCTCAAGGAGGAGGAAGATGAGCAGATGTCTCTGTAGAGCCCAACTCCTTATGGGTCAATGAACTCCTTGGGACCCTGCTGAAGTGAAATTAAAAGGAGGTTTTTAAAGCTACCTGGGCAGCATTTTGAATCCACTTTGTGCATATTTCTCAATATGGTCAGATAAGCTCTGGAAGGGGAAAAATTCTGCAGTAAAGAACAATTTCCACAGACAAACTCCAGCCTCTGATGCACCAATTTCCCAGCAGTGATTCCTTTCCTGCTGTAATGACACAGACACACATGGACAACCATGTCCAGCAAACAGTCTCTGAGAAGGGAAGGGTGATGGGTGGACTGAACAAGGGCTGCACCAGGAATAACAAACACACCCATATGGAAACAATTAGAGCTGTTTCTCAAGGGAGGAGATCTCTCTCTTCTTCTTCAAGCTTGTCTTTATATTCCTCCCTTGCAGCTAGCCTGAGCAATTTTTTAATTCATAAACTATATTGTGTAGGTGGGATTTTCCAGCCTTCTGCCTGTTTATAGCAATCAGGATTGCCTCTGTCAGGATATTATGTCTATTTAAAAATGTTTATCACTCACTACTTCAACTGAATTTAAAAGCATATCTGTTGCCCAGCAACAGAAAAAGCTGCTCCTGTTTCCTGTACAGAAAATAGGAGTTTAATCACCTAATGTGATCCTGTTCACTGACAATTAGGCAAAATATGTTCAAGGAAATGCCTTATATTAAAGTTGCAGTAATTAATTTTACTTCCACGTGTAGGATCAGATCGTGGCTTCTCCTCTGTGGTTTTTGGGGGAACTTTAAAACTTACTGTGTAATGAAATGGTTTTCTCCTAAGTCCTATTCACTCAGGACAGTCTCAGAGCTTAATTCCAACCAGGTCATGAGAGAGAGGGAGGGAACCATACTCAGATCTCTCAAAATTCATCTTAACACACTGACCACAATGTGAGCCCCTCAGAACTGTGCGCAGATATTTTCTCTGCTTCCCATGGCCAGGAGATCTGCCTGACTCCAGAGTACAGCTCAATGGCACACCAGGAATGCTCCTTGAGGTCTGCCCTTCCACGTGGTCCTCTTGGCCTTAATTCAGATGGATTGTCCCTATATGTGGCTGGGTGAGACAGTTATTCACTGCCTTGGATGGCACTGATGATCCCAGTGAAGCCTGGCCCCATTGTGCAAAGGATGATCAGAACTGGCTCCTCCAGTGCTGTTCTCAGTGCCTGGGAGAGGAAGCCACAGGCATCCTGAACAGTTTAGAGTCTTCATAAAATGAGAGCAATTAATTTTAATCCCCACTAGATGGTGCAGGAAGTCAATAAATGTCAATCGTCCGCTAACACTGGACTTGTCTTTCAAGTGCTTCCATATTCTCCTGAAATACCTCATCAGATGGTTTCTTTCATGAAGCCCTAAGCAGGGTTTGAACCAGAATCTGAGCAGCACCTGAACTCCCTGCTGTGCACCAGAAAGAGTTTTTAAACACCTTCTGGGCATAGCTCTGTGTTTGTACACTATTATTTTGAAAAATAATAAAAACAATATCTATCATTAATAATAATATCCATATAGGAGTTGCTTGCAAGACTTAGCAGAAATCTATTTAAAATCTAATCTGCTGACATTTAAAAATTCTCCATGGGATTTAATAGGCAACTGCATCCTTATTCTCTATTAAGGTGGTTTAATGTATCAAAGGACAAGATCTGTTATTTTATAATTAGATTGTGAATGATTTCAAAATACAGACTGTACAGCTTCTTGTACAATGCTCTAAATCATGGTTAAAGATCTCCAGGATCCAGGAATAACATAAAAATATACATAAAGATAATAAAATCCTGATGTATTTTATAATTATTTCTGTCTTTCAAGATTATAATAGCTTCATACCTCCAGTTCAGTTTTTGGACTCTCAGGCCATAAACCAGAGGGGTCTTGCAGGATCAATATGCAAGTTATTTAGAGGACTGTTTGATGCACATATGATTTTCTGTAACACTGACACATGGCAGCACGTAGATCTAAACCCAACAACCAAACATGCACACATTGGGGTAAGGATGAAAGAGAGAATGAGCATGGCAGATGTTAGTTGGATCACATAATACTTGGCTGGAAGGCACTCAGATACTCTCTGGTGATGAAGGTGGAATAACATCCTGTATAGATGAGAAAGCAATTTACCCAAGGAACTTGCAAGCAAATAAAAAAATACAGTACCGTACTCATGAAATGAGTCCTCTCTCTTCAGTCCTAAATTCTGCCACGAGGTAGTGCTCTGAAACATCTAAATCTATATGGATCAGATGAATTTCCAGCTCTAAACACAAATCAAATCCAAAGAGATAACGAGCCAAACAGAGACATTAATTATTTTTTATGCTGTCATTTATTTTGCAACATTTAATTAATGCCATAAAAATATATACTATACATTTTCAATAAAGAATTTAAAGTACCTCAATCAAAGATCACATGACCTTAGTTTCATTATGAAAAGTACCTGGATTCAATAAAAGGAGGACATAGCTTTATCCAAGACATAAATTTGGTTCAGGCAGCAATATTGAGAAAGGTTAAATGGTAAAGAAAACTAATCTCTTAAAGCAATATGAATCATAGAAAAAGAGGTGGCAGTAAGGCGCTAATAAAAGTCAGAGCTGTAATTTTCTTCTCACAGGAGCAATGGCTGCTAGGGAATGTGCAGCCCTGTGGGTGCCTTCCCAGCACTGCAGGAACTGCAGGGCCAGCAGGGAGCAAACACACAGTGTAAGGAGCCACACCTGGGAAAGGATGTGAATTTGGAAACACAGGCTGCTTAACAGGGCTGCTTTGCCACCTTCAAAGTGCCACTGGGGTTAAATACCATGGGCACGTTGTCTCCTGGTGTCAAGGGGTGCAGAACCATCATTTGTGTGGAGCTGTGCCAGTTTATCCCAAACAGACAACTCAGTGACAAATATTTCCAATTAGTATAATTGCTTATTTATATTTTTGAAGCCAGTTCAATCAAAGGCAATTTGAAACTTCTTTACTCTTCACTGTACATTCCCTTTGCTGTCAGCCTGCAAATGCAACCCCGCCAAAGTAAGTTGTTTTCATTGCCATTTGTCCTAGAGTTTTAGAATTTGATGAGTTCAGAACTTTGAGTCCAGCAGAGGAGATCCACCTCTCAGTCAGCACATCTGGCCAGTCACTAAGATTTGTTAGCATCCATTTAGACACATGCAGACCCTTCATGTTGTTCTGGTTTGCTTCTCACTTGTTTCCAATATTTAATGTAAACCTTGGCATGTTTTGAGTTCAAGTTTTTAAATTGTCTTTTTGGAGGGACAAATTTGGTCTGACTTAGTTTGGTTTACTTTAGTCTTCCTGAGCCCAAACTGGAAAAACACAATGATGTGGCAAGGCTGTCAAGCCACAATGATTTAAAAGTCTGTGTCTTGAAACTATTGCTTCCTGAAAGGTGGAACTGCAACGTGTCTCCTCAGATTCACTCTCTCATTAGGAAAATGCAGTCTGGTTTCCCTCCTGCCATCAGAGAAAGGTTGATTCTGAAAGCCAGTGCTCGCAAAAGTATGAGAAGAAGACTTGGATTAATTCTGCTTCTTTAACAAACCAGTATGTCCCTGTATTTTCCTGACACCTATCTGAAAATCTTTGCTGCACATTCATTATCCTGCTACCAGCTGCCTGAAACCCTAACAAGTGTCTCTGGCACCAGCTCTGTCTCTGAGCCAAAACTCTTTGATGAAAACTTTAGATGCACAGGCTGGAATTGAATTGGCTCATGGGGAAAAGCTGATACTCCCCAGAAATAAAAATCCCAGCTCTGTTACTCACCAGCTGGATGTGGATAGCATTTGCTCATATTCCTAATAATTTCATATATGGGCATCAACCAAGACATGAAATGGATGAAACTTGAAACCTCCTGCAGTGAAGCCTCTCTGGATTGAAAAAGAAAAAGAGCTGAGTGGGTCTCAAGTATTCAAGCTCTTGATCAAACCAGGGAGCTCCTGGCATGCTGGCTGTGCATGGCACATGACCTTCTGTCATGCCACTCTCCCTCTCATCCACCCTTAAACTTGCAGTAAAATATTGGATACGTTCATAATTTCTCTAACCCTCTTACTATTTATTGCCAGACCCTGAGGAAACTGTTCCAGCATCCCTTCATTTCCATTTCCCTGGCAGCTCTGTAGCTACATTCAGGATTTATTTCTTGAAAGTACAGACTAAGTCCTAGACATAATCACACTACATCACTGCCCTGTGCAGAAGTTGTCTTCACATTCTGCCACATTCCCTGCAATTTTCTCTATTATCTTAACACTGAATTTTTATTTAATTACACTAATTCTTCTTTTATAACTGAAAGCTGCTCTGATAGCCAAAATAGAGATATTTGAGTTGTGCATTTAAATGTTTTAATATAGTTCCATGTCTCCTGTATGCCTTCTTAAGAAATAGATTTAGTGTCTAATAGTGTCTGGATAATGGAGTCCAGAAGCCAGGGAGAAAGAGCTCCTTCAGCATGTTTTACACAATCCAGAGCACGGACAAATAGCATTATAAGGCAAAATAATAAATACCTCATGTGAAACACTGCAAGTACTGCCTAAAGAGAGATACACATCTTTAGGATGCACATCTGACAGAGGCCTTTATTCAATAAAATCACCAAACTCTTTTCTGATGAACCCTCTTGCAGCCTCAACAGTTCAAATCTGCTTATTCCAGCTGCAGTGTTCTATTCCTTTGCTTCCCATGCTATAATCCCCTCCTCGAAACAGTCAATAGCAATTCCTACACACTGCAAACTGACCAGAACCTCCTCATTTTCATTCAGTAATTACCTCAGTCAGAGAGCAAAACCAGGGTGCCCTTTGCCTTCTGAACAACTGCTTTCACAGCCGTGGAGCTGATTTAGAGGAAGGAGTGTGCAAAGCAGAGCTGTGTGTGTTTCACAGCAGCCTCCAGCACAGCCATCTGCAGGGAGCTGCACTGGGGCATGGCACAGCCACAGGGACTACAGACTACACCATTTGCAGCAGGAGGGGGACATTTCAGCCTGAGCAGAATGCCCTAAAAAAAGCAGACCTTGACAAGCTACTATAGGTATCCTGAATGCTTAAAGGTATATGATACAAGAGCAGACTACACAGAAACAATGGTCCTTTACCAAGAAATAATGAGTTTCCTACAAACCAAAGTGATGATCTCCTATAATCCTCTTCCACGACCATTTCTCCACCTTAGATTCCTCCCTCTTTATTCCCTCTGTCTGCTAGAAGTCAGCAAAGACCTGATAATAATAAAACCCCCGCTGTCTGCTTTGTTTTCAGACTGAGGTGATGGCAAGGATCTCTGCAGAAAACAAAGCCTTGCTGCTGATGAAGTCATTTTAAAACCATCTGTCGTAATTTACTGACTAATGAAGTGAAGGCTTGCTCTCCCCAGCCTCACTGCAATTTGCCATTTTTTTGGCACATATATAAAACAACACTTGCCTCCTCTAGCAGTCTCTGTGACAGTCTCGAGATGGCTGTCCAAATATTCCTCAACCCTGGCAAATGTAAAATCACCAAACTTTGTTTGACCCTCACTGAAAGTCATTACAATAGAGTTAGTTTTGCAATACTCTAACTGCAATTTTTCTCCCAGAGGCTGTGTGTTGGCAGTAAAGGACAAGATCACACAGAATACACAGCAAATCCAAGTAAAACTGGAGTTCATTGCAGAATTGATTGACTGAGGTTCAGATGCAACTCAAAAGGTGAAACTATGTGTTACCTCACCATCACCTCTTTTATCTTGTGCAGCAATTCACCGCCCTTGATTTTGAATCCTTTCCTTCTTCTCTTTTTTTCTTCCTTCTTTTTTTTAATGCTTGTTCATTTCTTTTGATGTCTGAAATAAAATCATTCTGCTGGAAATACTGCAGTTAATATGTGGGAATCCAAACAGCATATTACTTGTGGAATCCCATCTGATTTCAGGTACATCCCACTGACCTCATACCCCATACACTGGCAGTTAGATTTTGTTTAGAAACTGAAGAAAGAAAAATAATAGAGAATCATAGAATGGTTTAGGTTGGAAAAGACCACTAAGATCATTGAGTCCAACAGAAATATGAGAAGAGTTTATTCAATTAAAAAGAAATAGCCTGATCTTGGCAGAATTTTCCCCTTCTAGTTCAGGGAGGTTTATAGCTTGCCAGTAGCTCAGTCTTCATCCTTTGCACATTTTTCTTCCCTTATGTCTGTAACTCCCTTCGATCCTGGCAGGTAAAATGATGTTGGGACTGTAAGCACTGAGGTACACAAGTATGCTGACATCAGGCATGAAGCATTGCACCAGGAGGCTGAAAACCCTGTTTATAGTGTATCATTTCAAGAGTGGAATGCCATATATTTTCTTTGCTTTTGTAGCTTTCTTTAAAAAGTCTTCATGGAGTGAGCTGCTGATTCAGCATTGCCTCCTGGTGAGCCCTGAGAGGGTGATGATGTGAAACTGAAACCCGAGATCCAGCGCTGGAACAGATCCTTAGATCAGCAGAGTGAGCCTTGTGCTATGGCAGAAAGCACATCATGCAGGCCTTTGGATGGCTGAGGTTTTCTGAGGTGGCAAGCAGAACGCTGTTGATTTTTGCAGTTGGCGAGACAGCAGGAATAAGGCAGGGCAGGCTGTCTGAGCCCACCCAGGCAGGGCTGACCTGGCCCTGGAACGCTTCCCGCCGTTATTTACGACAGCCCCGTGGCCACGGCCGCCTCCTTCTCCAGCATCGGCTGCCAACTTTCCTTCTTTTGGCACTTAGTAAGGAGAAAATTCTTTTTTTTTGCCAGGTGAAATGTATTCACTGAACTCAGGGTATTTGGTAGTAAATTCTGGCTCTGGCTTTGTTTAATGCTACTTTGGTCTAGTGCAGTTTGTCCATCTGCTCCCTAGTGCTGCATCCGTTATGGGTGCTGAGATGCTCGTTTTACAGCTCCTGCTACTCCCTTCTCTCTCCTGAGGCGTTCTGCTGACTGATTTCAGAATAACTAGCACGTTTTCAGATTGCAAGGATCTGAAAATCATTTCAATGCTTCCAAACATTGTCTGGACATTTTCTAGAAGGTTTTTCCAGCCTGTGTCATCTGCTTTGAACATGATTTTTGTGGTGCTTTGCACATCTCCTTTGAGTCCTTTGTCAGAGGTTTAATGTCACTAGTTCAGGACAGACATGGTTTAGATAAAAGCAGTAGTTTTTCTGTAGCCTCTGCAACTGAAATTTCAGTCTGTATAATTTACTTCAGTGTTTTGCCTGTAATTCACATTGTCTCTGCAGCAATGGAGCTGTGTCATCATGTGCTTTCAATGGCTGCCAATTCCCTTTCTTCTCCTGCATAGCTCAGAGGAAGTCAAGGTAACCTGGCAGTCCCTGATCTGCCCATCTGGTTTGCTTTCCCTTTCCTCTTTGCATGTTCCTGCCTGATTTGTGTCCAGTAGTACTCTGGATTTTATAGACTCCCTTTTAATGAGGTTCTGCAAACCACTCCTGGCCAAAAGGATGCAACCTTTAAATCACCACAGCACACTGTAACCATTTTTTTCCCTAAAAATTGTGACATAAGGTCTTCCCTGGATGCCAGGACCGCTCACAATTCTATTAACCAAAGCAAATGCCTGCATTGTTTTTCTTCAGAGTCTTACACACCTCTTCCTGGATAACAGCAAAAGCTGCCTCCAGAACAGAGTAGCTTATCACAGCAGCATTTACTAAGGAGTTCCTGTCTTTAACCTCAAACCAGAGCTCACAGTGCAAGATAAAGTGATGCCAGACCGCAGAGTTCATCTCTAAGATTGAGGTATAAGCCTTGGAGCCTGGCTCCATTCCCAGGCAGATGCCAGCCATAGCCATATCCTGCTCAGAAGGGTTGGCCAGCTCCAGTCTCTCTTGCTTTGGCTCTTGTTCAGCATTAGGTTCATAATAAAGCTCAGTGACAGATGCAATAAACCTTGTTCTCATCTACCTCCCATTGCTACCAGTGCAGTGCTATGATTTTTTGTCAGATACTTCTTGACTCTTCCATCTCTTTCAGTGCTTAATGCAGCTTCTAGTGAAGCACTGCCATCAAATCCTACACTGAACTTATTCTAATCCTATTTTTTGCCATTAAGGCAAAAAATAAAAGCAGTTTAAACTGGGAATTCAGTTCATCTGAGTGCTCCTCCTCTCCTCATGTCTGTTCACGTATAAATAAAAATGACAGATTAATTTATTTTTTTTACACATAACGACAATTATTTAGCACTCCTCCACATTACTCCAAATTTGAGGCAAGCAAGTCAATAAACTGCCCATGCCACCTTCACAGCAATGTGGTTTACACTTAAACAGTCTGAGAGGCAACAAAACATTCCCGACCCAATGCTCTTCCAGAAGTGTCCCTAAGAGGCATTTCCAGTAGCACAGTTTCAGATAAACCTTAATCAAAGTCTAAAACTGCTGTTCAAATGCAATTTAAACTCCACCTGCTGGCTGAGCTCCTTAATGGCATCATGTCTGCCCGTACAGATGGTAAAGGGGCTTAAGGATGCTCCCCTTCCAGTGCTAAGGGGCTTAAGGGAGATCTATGATACATCACATTAAGAAAAATACCAGGCAAGACTTTCTAAAGTGATTAATGATCTCTGTAGCTCTGTTTAATAGAAACATGTCTAAAAGATCTGATTTGCAAAATCACTAATCACATTTGGCAAAACAAACCCTGAAATACTCTGAATCACAAATGGGTCTAAGGAGAAGCAACAAATGTCCTCTCAATTAAAAAAATGGAATATATTTCATGAAGAAGGCTTGAAATAAGGGTTTGATGACCAGATGTTTTGTTTCCCATATCCAGTTTCCAGAGATACATTTCAAGTAACTATAGAACACTAACTGTACATGCACACAGAGAATACAATGCACACATGTGACAATGAGGGATTTGTGCAGAGAGTTCACTTTTAATTCCATTGGGACTCCTATATGCCTGTGTTTTTACAAAATTATGCATTGAAAGAAAATTAGGATTTTTTTTATTTCAGTGCCTTAAAATCAACTTCAGTGGGAAAACAATCCGTTGAGCAGTTTAGGAATATGAGGTGCATTCAGGAAAAATGTTGGGCATTAGTAAATTTTTCCATGTGTGATAGGGGTAATTTAGCATAAAACTATGCATCTTCTATTTTCTTAAAGCTAGCCAGACTTTAGAAAAATGTTATGGTACTAATGAGACAGAAATCTCTGAGAATTCAATGCATGGCATACAGGGAAATCAAAAATTAATTTAAGAGGCATATTTCCTAGCTATGAGGGTTATTGATAATAATCAGTACAATCAGGAAGTCATCAAACACTGACTAGACTCCTTTCAAAACAGTGCACAAAAAGATATTCATTTTGTTTCGTGTTCATATTTCATATTAATTTATTATCCAATAAACAGTTTATGTGACAGTATTTATATTGCATGAATTGTTTGGAAAGTATTCACCACAATTATCACCCAGAGAACATCTTACTTTCCATAGCTCAATTTGTGGGGAGGTCAACTGACACTTGAGACTAATTCAGCTTGCCTGGTTAATCCACAAGCTTCAGAATGACTCTCTAAACACTTCCAAACAAATGCCCTGGCTCATTTCTCTCTGATATTCACCCCAGTGCTTTCCACAAGCCATTTTAATGGATAAAAATCTCATCAGATGAATTAGCAAGAAGCAAGTAGACAAGAATAACATATCCTGACATGAATTGTAGGGCTTTATGTAAACACACATACATAATAAGAATATATATGTTACAGGCACCTGCTGATTCTTACTGTGCTTAGTGACAGAATCTGAACATGACAGAAAGATGGAACTGCTCAGTTGGTAATACCCTGTTATCCTGATGCTGCTTACCCCTTCAAAAATAGTATGGGAGGACAACCATAGTGCAAAGAAG